AAAATTTCAAATTTAAAACATTTTTAGGTAGGCCATGGGGGGATCTCTCAAGAACAATCATCATGCAAAGCTACCTTGATGATATAATTGACCCCAAGGGTTGGCTGGAATGGAATGGTCGTAGTCCAGACACAGTTTATTACGCAGAGTACAAGAATGAAGGACCCGGAGCCAATACTGGAGGAAGAGTACCATGGTAAAAGGTAATTAATAGCTCCATTGAAGCAACTAATTTTACACTCAGAAATTTCATTGAGGGAGACAAATGGATTCCGGCAACAGGAATACCCTTCTTTCTAGATTTACTATAATTTTGTAATGTACAATACCATTATGGACATTTCCTTTCATCTTGCACAACTTCCTTCAAAGATTGCAATGCAAAGACAGTGATGTGGAAGTGTTTCAATTACATTATGGACATTTTACGGTTGGCTAAATATATTACTTTTTGGTGTTTTAGCACATCTGAGTGCTGTTAGAATTCAATTAATGAATTTCATATACCCAAATATTATGTTTTTGGCCTTGCCTCGTCCAGTACTGGCCAAATTTACACAACCTTTCATCAACTTCTTCAAAGTTATACCTAGAATCCTCTTATTGGAACTTTTGTTAGATACCAAGAAGTTAGCTACAATTGCTCTCTCACAGAACTTAAATTATTTTAAGTCAGATGTCAAACTAGAGTTATCATGAAAAAATCCATTCTATCAAAGCCTATGATGACTTCAACCAAACTCACAGCACAGTACAAGCTGGGTTCTCCTATAAGTCCAAACCAAACTAATTTAAGATTTATAGATATCTTTCCAGATCCAAACTAACCACCCAATGAAAATCAAATACCAGAAAATAAAAGAAAGATCTGAGAGTCGTGGACCGTACCTTAATCATGCTTTGATTAATTTAGACTGATTACAAACCCCCATTGTGAAGACACCTATTCAAAGATGAGAATTGTGTCAGGACAAAAGTGATGATCGCCTGAAAATTCTTGCAGCACAAAAGAGTCCATTCTTTTCATAATTAAAAGACAGCTTCATATAACATGAAAACTTTCTCAAGAATGATCATCATGCAAAGCTTCCTTGATGACATAATTGATCCCAAGGGTTGGTTAGAATGAAGTGGCCATAGTCTAGACAAAGTTTACTATGCATAGTATGAGAACAGAGAACCATAGTTAGCACTAAAGGAAGAATACAATTGGCAATGGTAATTAATAGCTCCACAGAATAGCTAACTTTACACTACAAATTTTCGTTGGAGGGGACTTCTGGATTCTATTGATAGGAATTCCATTGTTTCTCAATTTACTATAAATTTGTAACATACGATATCAACTCCCATGCATTCAGTGACTGTTGTTCATAGGCACTTACACACTAGATAAATATGTGTTGCCAATATGTTGCATGTTTGAGTACATATTCTCTACGTTTTCAATGTACCAATGTGACTAATTGAGCATACAATGGATGTGATATTGTTGTATTAATCCTAGTCTCACGCTCAAGATTACCCAAACATATTAACAAGCATATCAATGATCAAGCTCACCCAAACATATTGGCAAGCATATCAATGATGTATGCACAAGTGCCTTTTAAATGAGAACAACAATCACTGGATATAGGAAGTGTTAGAGGAAGGAAGAAACCTAAATTAACGTGAGCTAATATAGTAAATAAAGATATGAATCTTCTTAATTTGACTAACCAAATGATTTTTGATAGAGTCAAATGGATAAGAATGATTCATATAGCCGACCCCATCTGATGGGACTTAAGGCTTTGTTTGGTTGGTTGGTAACACAATCATTGGATATCACTCTCCAACAATTTCATTGTAGGCAGTGTATACATGCATAAAATTATTTATACTTGGAAAACTAATCCTGTGGATTAGCTTATCAAACCATCCCTTGTGCATGTCAATATTTATTTTATGCTCAAATTCAAAACCTTCGATAAAATGGCTATTAGCAAGAAAAAATAAAAATTGTATTTAAATGAACTTGGAGCTAATAAAATCGATCATCCATTAAGTCTAAGAAATTTTGTAGTCATTAAGGCCCAGGTAATATGATATCTCCTTATAAAGCTCTTAATTCAGAAATGGCAAATTTGGCACACCAGTTAGAATGAGAATGTGGGACTCTCATCTTGGTGTAAAGATAGACATATATACATATTTTGATTCATGTCACACTACTAAAAAAAAAAATTTTTGCGACCGCCACGAGCCGACACAAATAATAGAAATGTGATCACAAAAGACCTTTTGCGACCACCATGTGTCGGAAAATAGGGGGCGCGAATGTGGGGTGGCAAATACTATTTGCTACGGCAAAGCAACAGTCACAAATTATTTGCAACTGCCTAACCTACTTATGGCGTTCGTTTTTTTGTGGTCACAAAAAATAAAAAACTTATTAATATTTATGTTTTGTTACATGGACTTGGGTATGGGTGTTAGATGTAGGTATGTATCTAGAGGTCAGACTCATCAAACCATAAATTTAAGGATAGGTGGACTCAACAAAAAATGTCATATTTTTATATTTTTAATCAAATATGTGAGATAAAATTGTCTCACATGTAACATACAGTGTCAAGAAGACATTTATAGAAATTATTCAACAATATGTACACATAATAACAGTGTTATATACAATTATATAAGAAGTGTCTGTTAAAAAGTAGCCGACACAAATCCTATACATACCTATACCCTTGTTCAAGTGTCGAGTGTTCGACACAAATGTTTGATTTATTTTGAAGAGTCCATATAAGTTGTAACATAGCGTTTTGGCAACCATCTTGGTACCGTTGCAAACAATCTTCAATGAAATTTCATAAAAATGCTAGAAGAATATCCTTATTCTAAAAACAATTATTTGCAAATTATTATTTATTATAAAAATCGTATATACATTTGCTACAAAGAAATCAATTGCAAGCACCTAACAGTATTTTTAATGAAAAATAATATAAAATTAACAAATTAATTTAAGGCCTAGTTTGGGAAGACTAAATAAGTGCACTTTTTGACTTTTTATGAAATATGGGTTGGGTTTGGGTTGGGTTTGAAGTGATGTGTTAGAGAGGTGATGTGACTTAAATAAGAAGATGTGACTTAAATAGGATAGTGACTTTTTGACTTTTTGTCTTTTTTCAATCTTCCCAAACTAGGCCTAAATCTATAATAGATATATCAACCTATTTTCACATATATATTCAAATGTTATATGCGATAATAATAGACAAATAAAGTAATAAATGGAAAGAGTTATATTTGTGAAGAATGTTCATACATGTATCACATGATATATAATGAAAGCTATGCCTTTCAAATGTTGCCATGTGTCCATGTAACAATCTACCATCTGTCCTCTCCAAGTAATATGTCTTCTATTTTCTCTATTCTATGTCATTTTGTTTTCCCAACAACCTCTCAAGTTTATTTATTCTCTTTCTTTTTGTCTTCTTTTGCAATATTTGATTCTCCATGTGTGATTGTTTTGTGATTTTTCATCTTTACATTAATTAAACTATTGATTCTCTTCATTTTTACATTAATTAACTAAACTGTTACATCTCTATTAACTTTGCATCTATTCATCTTGCTCTAATCAATAGAATGCTCTAATTTGTTCTGTAGACAGTTCTTATATGTAAATTTCTTATTTTTTTATTGGTTTTTTTTATTTTTATTTTTTGGGTAAGATTTTGATTATTTATTCCAAGAAACTCCTTGTATTATGATAGTCGAACTTTGCAAAATATCATAATGTATAACGATTCTGGTTTAGACCCGACCTGTTTATTGTTTTGGATTCGGGATTCCTTGTCTTATTTGGTTGTTCATATCCTTATTCATCTTATTCTTGATTGAGTTTGGTTGTTTGGATGTCTTTGTTGCATTTGGAATAGGTCGGGAGTTTGTTTCTCAATAGACTTGTTGCCCAGATTTTGGTCAGTTCGTTCGAGCAGCCTTTTGGTCACTCGAGCGGTCCTTGAGAACTTCCAATATATTTGCAAGTCTGCAAATATATTGGGCAGGTGTTTTTTTTTTTCCGCTCGAGTGATGTTTCTTGTGCTCTAGCGGTGTTTCTTGCGCTCTAGCGGTCTTGCCTTGAGTAGTCCTTACGCTTGAGCGGTCTTTGCGAACTCTCTGGAAAAGTACTGGGAGGTGGTGTTTTTTGCTCGAGCAGTCACTTTGTTCGCTCGAGCGAACTCACTTATCGTGTCTGGTTGCTTGAGCAGTGTTTTGGTCGCTTGAGCGGTCTGCGCGTATATCAGTTCGTAACAGCTACTTTTTGAGTCACTTTTTCATATCTCTCTCTCTCTAAACATTTCAAAAACCCTAAAGCTAGACCTTTTCTCTCTAAAACTCATCTTCAACCTCCAAATACTCTCAATCTATTTATCTCTACACTCTAGTCCCTTTGATAAAAAGGTAGAGCTCACCTAGAGTTTCGTTTAAATTGGAACAAAGTTGGTTTTCGGCTTCGTCGATGTTTCTCCACTCTCTTCCTTATCTTCTAGCTTTGAGGTAGGGATTTCTCCACACTTTCGTATGGTTTTTAACTTGGTTATTTGCTTTTCTAAACAATATTGTGATTTGAAATTTTTGGATAAACCCAAGGTTTTGGTTTTGAAATCAAAATAGAGGTTTTCAAAATGTTTTCGTAGAAATGATTGTGGGTTTGTAAATGTGATGGAGTTGTGATAAAATGGTGAATTTTAATCCTTGAAATTAATTTGTAAAAAAAAATGGGATTTTGTCCTAAAATGTGAATACTTGATTTTGTAAGGAGGAAATGAAAATTATGTTGGGTTTTATAAAATTGGAATGATGATGATGATGATGATGATGATGATGATGGTGGAGTTGAATATACATTATCGCTCCCATCTTGAAATTTTGGAAAGTTTATATTTATTGAAAATTATCTATCTGTTTACAGATATCTGTTTTGGACTATCGGTGGAGGATAGTTATGATTGTTATAGAAATTGCATGAGAATTAAGAGAATTGAAACTAATTTCTCATATATTGTGCATTGTGCATCATCTTACATTGAACAGTGTAAATGTAATTGATTTTAAGAAAAAAGGGTGAATATCGTAGTGAATCTGGTTAGGGGGTGTTTAGGTAGGGGGTGTGGTTGTGGTATTATTGTTGGCCTATGTATCCTTGGTGAAAGTCCAAAAACCCACACGGCTAGCTGCCGAGCCTTCCGGTTAATATCAGTAAAAATAGCAATTGGTAGTGCTTGTATAGCCTACTTGAAAACACGTACCTAGAGATTCCCAGAGTTGTATCCACTGCCCTGTTTTCTATTGTAAAGAAAGTGGTTTTCATGAATTGTGATATAATCAGACATTGCATGGTTTTTGGAAAGAGATGTAAAACATTTTAACATGAGCATTGCATATGCATTCACCTTATAACTTTGTTAAGATTCATACACTGTGTTAGAGTATCTCTACTGAGTTTTGGCTCACCTTATGTGGAAAACCATTTTTAGGTGTTGATGATATGCCTCCGCCAAGGCCATAGCTTGGGAGGACTTGGAGCCAAGAGTTTCTATTTGTTATTGTGGTAATTACTTTGTACAAGCTTAGGGCTTTATTTGTATTGAGTTTCAAACTTACTTTTGTTGTAATCAAGTATCGTCTTGGAAAGCTGTAACCATTAGGGCATTTATATATCTGTTTAACTTTGGCAAGATTTAATATCAAGGGGTTGTTTGAGATGGCCTAAATAAGTGCATTTTTTGTCTTTTTACGAAAAGATGTGCAGAAAAGTAGAGAGGTGATGTGATGGAAAAAAGATAAAAAGATAGATTATTTTTGGGTTGCCAAACTTGGCCTTAAATTAAAATGAATTTAAATTTACAAAATTAATGTCATCACTTTTAATTACGTCAAATTGTCAAAAATTACTTTTAATTACTTACCAAATACAATATTATGATTGTATTTTAAAAAATAAAATTGATTCACTTGCTAATATAATATTTTCAAACTTAATTTAATAATGTTTGGCTTCTAAATTTAAAAGTGATTTACAGAGAAATATGTTATACATTGAAACCACATATACATAAAACAATTTCAAACATAACCATTGGATTCAATGGGTAGAACACTAGTATATATATATAATTTATACGTGTGCAAACAAAATATAAGCTTCCATACATGCAAAACAAATACCCATCAATCATTCTTAAAAGTGTTTATACAAAACACTAAAAAATATAAGTCCTCAAAAATAAATAAATAATTATTTAACAAAAAAAAAAAAGAGGAGCATATTCTCAGTTTGGCTTTCAACGTCACCCGCTTGATTATGCCAACTACTCCCTCAACAAAACTTGCAAAAACATATACTAATATTAAATTTTACACTATAATCTTAAATATATATATATATATATATATAACTCTAAAATTATCCCTACCTCAAGCTTGGGAGATAAAGAGGAAGAAAACCCTAGAACTCAAGGTTAAATAAAACTCGATCCAATCGGTTATAAACGTAGCCCTCGTTGCCCTCTTTAATTTGGTGTAAAAAGCCCCCTCAAACTCTTGAAGATTTGAGCTAAATCTTAGAGAGAAGTTGGATTTAGGTGTGTTTGCAAAGAGAAATGAGAGAAAAGATGAGTATAGAGAGAGAGAGAGAGAGAGAGAGAGAGAGAGAGAGAAGTGAAAATCTATGCAAAACACGTTTTGGCATCAATTTCGAGGAAAGGAGCACGAAATTCGAAATAAAAGCGCAGAAATCTGCATGAGCGATTTCAATCCGCACGAGCAGAATTTCCAATCTGCATGAGCCGATTTTTTTGCCTCATGGGCGGTTTTGCTCAAGAGAGCTGCCCAGAAAATCCACCCAAAATCCGCTCGAGCAGTTTTCTGCCCAAAAAACTCTGTGTTGATCCATTCGGGTGACTTTCAATTCCGCACGAGTGGTTTTGCCTAGAAACCTAGAGTTTGATTTTGCAACCCATCATAAGTTCCAATGCCCAAAACTCAAAATTTTTAACTCGGAAAAGTTACGTGAGGTTAAGTAAGAGTAGAAAGAAATCTGAACGACCTAATACGATAAACAAAACCCCGAAAGCAATACACGCTACCCTACTACATAATACTATTTAAGCCCAAGACCCGGGACATCACAACGGCAGATGAGGGAAGCGATAAAACCCTAGAAGAGTTCCAGAACCCTCTTTCATCTCTATAAATAAAACCCCTCTCCCTTTCTTTGAAGAGGCTAAGAATTTTGAGCGTTTTTGCGCATTTTAAGAGCAAACACCATTTCTCCCCCTCTCATACTACCTTAGTCATGAGAATACCCTACCTACAGTAGCTCTAAACACTGTAAAACACCTGAGGACTGAAGAACTTCAACCGAAACTTGGATTTCAAGCCTAAGGGAAGTTTGCAAGCAAAGAACCCGTTGTTTCTTTGTGTTCTTCTCTGCATGCTCTTTGGTTCTTGAAACCTAGAAGGTAAACTCCTCATACTCTCTATATTTTAGTAGTTTTTCACTTATTTTTAGTAGTCAATCCATACTAGGTTGTTAGTCCATCATAGTATCATGTAGCTTATTCGTTTTATTCGTTTTTTCGCTTTATTTTGCATGTTCTCTTTATTTTAGAACAACATGGTT